ATCTAAATGCTTGTAACCTGCTAGCCTGAAGTTGCAATCGAAGGTGAGACGGGGAAGGTATACAGAGCTAATTTTCATGATCGTCATGGCAGGACCGTTCTTATACTAAGACCAGGAATGCAGGTATTTAAATGTATCTCTCATCTCTATTTTCTTAGACGATGAAAAGATTATGAAATCTGTTATATCTTTGCAGAATACAGTATCAATAGATAACCAGATGAAACATCTGGTTTATCTCATAGAAAATGCCATACTCAATCTTCCAGAAGGTCAAGAACAGATGGCATGGTTAATAGACTTCACGGGATGGTCTTTAAGCACCAATGTCCCCATCAAATCTGCTCGAGATACTATCAATATACTACAAAATCATTACCCTGAAAGACTAGCTATTGCATTTTTGTACAACCCCCCACGCATATTTGAAGCATTTTGGAAGGTTTGATTTTTATAATCCTTGCCATTTTTTTGAGTCTATAGTAAATGAGGGAATAGGCTTAGCACTGTGTTCCTTTTTTGTTGGATTATGCAGGGTATTCTTTTACAATGTTTTGAATCATCATTTTATTGGTGGTTTTCTTAGTGAGGGAGGGAGGGTGTGTGGATTAAAAGTTAGAACCATACTGAAATCAAAGTAATTCTGTGTGCAAATCTCAATTAGAAAATTTTACATTTCATGCTGCAATTTTGTTCATGTTTATTAGAAGAAAAATTGATCTTTACTCCATGCTAATTTAGAAATGTTCATTCAATGCAGGTTGTAAAATACTTTTTGGATGCAAAAACATTCCAGAAGGTGAAATTTGTCTACCCAAAGAATAAAGACAGTGTGGAACTCATGCGATCCTATTTTGATGTAGACAATCTCCCAGCTGAGCTTGGAGGTAAAGCCACACTGCAGTACAACCACGAGGAATTCTCGAGGCAAATGGCGCAGGACGATGTAAAAGCTGCTAAGCTATGGGGTTTCGACCAGCCCCAATCCAACAGCTGTGGAGGAGCTGAGGTGTCTCCAGAGCCTGAGTACCTTGCTCCACCAGTCAGCTAATTTTTCTGTACAATGTTGAAAATATACTACTGAACTATTCGGGCTTACATAAATCCTAATTATGGAGGGGAAGATCTAGTGGAAATAATTGATAAATTGTTTTTGCTGAATAAACTCTAGTTTTATCCTTTCTCATGTTTTTCTTTCATAGCCCCAGCACTTTACTGTTGTATGCTTCTCCTGGGGAAACATGAACAGCTGATTTCATGTTGCTGCTTTTACAGGCAATCTTGTTAATGCAAGATTTTGAGTGACCAGGATACTATAAGGTATAATCTTAAAAATTGAATTTTTAACATGTTTGATGACTTGTGCGGTCATTTAGGTGTTTGTGCAGCACAGTTTTTGAACAAAATAATAAATTGTGCGTCATTTAGGCATAAACCAGATGTTTTTGGCGACAAATTTTGAGACGAGGAGGTTCAACAAAGGTCTTAAATTTAAGTTTCATAGACATTCATTTAGGAAATAAATATGTACGTTTACATTTTTATATTTTAAAATTTTGTAAAGTAGTTTAACACGTTCCACTTAATAATAGGAGGAACTTAGGAATGCAACGTGCTTTTATATTATAATAAAATTTGGGGTTCCATAAAAGTTAAAATTATTGAGAGTAGTTCACACTTATATGTTGGTTTATATTTCGGTAGATTTACTCCGTAATATGTTTTGACAAGTTAGTGACTCGTATGAGTAGATCAATCTTGAATTTTGTGTGTTCGTTTGTCTTAATTGAATTAAATTGTTCGTTGATGATGTTATTTTAAAACTTGGGTTTCATCTTAAAAAATTACCTTATTAACAGCAATAACTCAAAAATTTATATGTTAATTTATATTTTAGTATTTAACCAATATGAAATATCTCTTAACAAATGCACATGTGCAAGATAAGTATATTTGACGTGTCCCGCGTATATCCTGCCATGCTCGACCCTTGTCCCCAATTGTAGCAGGGATAAGACAAGAGAATATTATTTTCTTATTTCGTTTTTATGTTTTTATATTTAAAACATATTGTAAAATAAATATAATATCAAAAAAATAAATTAAATGGAGCGATAAATAACAGTGTACTAAAGAGTGTAATGAGCAACGATGCGTGGAAGCAGGGCTAAGCGCATGCATAGGAATAAAAAAACGTTTTCTTATTATAATATTATTTTTAATTTTTAATCAATTTAAAAATTATTTAATAATACATACAAATTATAGTACCAAATGTAGTTTGTTTATTTTTATTTTCTCATTTATTTATTTTAATGACAAATAACATGCCATAAAAATAATTTATCGA